AAAATACACAGCAGAAATACCTTGGGGGAGGAGGGGGAATCTTTTCTTTCCTTTTTTTTTTTTTTTTTTTTTAAATATCCTAAGTGAAGTCCTCCTGCAACACGGCGTGCCTCCGGCTAATCCCCGGGAAACTGGTTCAGCCAGCACCGGTGCGGGCAGGGAGGGCACTGCCAGCACCGGCTGCTCTGCCTGGCAGCAAGGGTTATGCAGGGCTGCGAACTGGCAGTAAATAGCCGCGTCTATCTGCGGGGGGGTCTGTGGGTTCCCCGGGACCACTAGCATAGGAGGAACCATTGGTTTGATAATCCAAATGTCACCTTTTAAAATTTTTTTTCACTCCCCCTTCCTTTGAAAATGGCCTGGTAATCCTTGACACCGCACGCCCTGGGCCCCTGCCAAAGAGCCCTGGGGCTTGTGTTCCTGCTCACGCTGCCAGGCTCCTGGCTGCCTCGCTGCTTCGTGAACTCCCATTTGCCTTTCTTGGCTGGAAAAAGGATTAAGTTAGCAGGGCAGGAAAATTAATTAGCTGCCATTTTAAGGATGTAGCTTTTGTTGCAGTCTGAAGTGTTTTGAAATGACATTGTATCACTGAGACCAATGTGGGGCTGATTAAAAGGCTTTTACCTGCCGGAATACCAGATTTATTTCCGCCGTGGTTCTCCCCCAGGTGATTACGGCTCCAAGGTGAACCTCAAGGCCAAATCAAAGGAGTGTGTTGCCTTTGCTCCTAGTGCCGGCCGTAGAAAGTTGGTACCAAAGTTTTTTCTGCTTGTTTAACATTCAAAATAGCCTTTCTTCGCCCTTCCCCTCCGCGCAGGCAGCCTGCCAGCTCGGCGCAGGCACCGGCTGGGACAAGCAGGGAACCGCAAAGCGAGCTGCAGCTTCCCTGCCCTGCTGCGGCTGGGGAGTGGGTGGGCTTCCCCCAGGGAGCTCAGGGGCAGCGCTGCAGCCCCTGGATGCTGCGGGGAGAGCCTCAGCCTTTCCGAATCGTCTGGTGGAAAGTTGCTGCTTTTTGGTGCAGGTGACCCCCAAAAAGAAGCAGAAACGGTGCCACTCTTTTGGGGGGCTGCATCCAGCTGGAGGATGTCCCCAGAGCTAATGTCCTCTCTGAGACAGAGAAGGGCGGCTCTGCTGCAGGGTGGTGAAGGGTGGGGGAACCCAGAGCATGGGAAGCGAGTGATAAGGAAGCCAAAAATCAATTTAGAGTTAGAAAGTAATTGCCATTCCCTGCTTTCTCCAGGGAGGGGGCTGCGTTGGTGCTTCTGAGCACTGGGAAGGGGCCGTTAGCCACTAGCTTTCCCGAGAAAGCTTTAATCCAGCGCTCGGCAGCAGTGGGGAGAGGGCACGCCGGCCTCACCCTTTACAAGCAGCGCTAGCGGGTCTCACAGCTGCACTTTGCTTTCTTGCACCGCAGCGATGGCTCCAGCGCGCTCCGTCTCTGCTGACGCATGGAGGGGACACACAAAGCTCCTCTGCCACTGTCAGACATGCCTGATCAGGAGTTACTTTCACAAGCAGTGCTACGGTTCAGCCCTCGCTGAACTCTAGGAAAAGAGATTTCTGCCAGCTGCGCTTCCACCCCAGCCTCTGATTCCGACAGGACAGGGACAGTGAACGATCTCTGACACAAACCGTGGTCCCCATCTCCTCACCTTGTGAGGGTCTAAACGACTCCTGCCCTCCTTAGCTTTAAAGAAACAAAAATTCCCCACTGAACTCTCACTGGCTGGTGAGGAAGAGTGGAGAAAATAGCAAAATTAATGTAGATTAAACCTGCTACTCCAGCAACAAATGCAGTTTGTCAGCATATTTTTTTTTTTATTATTTAATGTAGTAGAAACATCACGTCCTGTAGCCACAGCAATTCAAGGCGTGATGGCAGTAAACGTGCACTGGGCGAGGCTGGAGACTCTTCAGTCTAATCCAAAAAGCTCTTGGCACAACTTTTGTCTTGCTTTTGAAGAGGGGAAGCTCATCTGTGAAGAACTACACATCGCAAGGTAAGCACAAGCTTTGGGAGCTGGTTAAGGTGCCCCTTCCTTAAAACACTGATTGTTTTTTTACAGCCTCATGTTCAGTGCTGGATGCAGACAGCTGCGGCAGCGCGGTAAGCAGACGAAGGGTGAGTCTGCTGCTCTCTCTGGTGCAATCATGATGGATGCTGTAGTTAAGCAAACTCCTCTAGTTCTTTGCTAACTTTTCAACCTCCCCCAACGGAAAAGCAGAACAGGGAGCGAGAAGTGATCTTGCTCAAGTCCAAGATTTTAACTATCACCAGCCCCGTGAGTAGGCTGAGTGTTTCCCCCAGCAACTGTTGCAATACCAGACCTTGCAGGAGCCTGTCCCGTGGGTTGGCAGGGGATTAGCACATGGTAGAAAAGCCTGTACTATGGTTAAATGGAGGACAGAAAATACGTCAGCTCTGCCAGATATGTTGACTAGGAATCTCAAAGGCAGGCAGATCCCCAGGCTGGTAACATTTCACTCCTGAATGTTTTGTTTAGCTACTTGTAGCATGCTATTTTGATTCCCCCTACTGATCTTATCTCATAGTAATGAACACCACCAGGCCAGGCATGCACTTTCACACAGAGCTGCCGTAATTAAGGCAATCACTTCTTGCCAATGGTAGGCAGTCACTCTTAAATACTCAGTCATCAGGGATTTGCTGCAGCAGGCTCCAGGCTGGTCAGAAATAAATAAATAAACTCCCAAACACTTTAAGGATATCAATTTTTATTGGACATTGCGAGATCAATAAGAAAAAATAATTTGTACAGCTTTGTGATATAACCATTGCTGCTGAAGAGTAAGGCTACCTGTCACGAGAAGAGACCTGATGCAGCCAACGGGGTGTTCCTAGCAGGACCCGCTCTGAGAAGCAGATGATGTTCTCCACCCACCCTGTCCCACAGCAGCACCTTCCACCTCGGGCAGGTCCCTGTAGCCTTAGGTAGCACAAATGGGGCTTCTTAGACATGAAGGGTGAGCAGCCCTGCTCTAAGAGACCCTCTGCAAACGGCTCACTGCCAGCCACAGCTGCAGTATCAGTCTGGTACAGTGGTTACTGACCTTCTCCTTGCTTCTCCCTCCCTCCGCTAATTCTGTCTTTCCTCTGTGCCTCACAAGGTCACCTGGCCGATGTTCAGCCGTTTCCTCCATGCAGCAACTGCTGCTCAGCAGCCCTCTTCCCCAAGGAAAGAGCTCTGTCCGCAATAGAGAGCTGACCCGATACTTACTACTTTTGAGGCCTTTGGTGACAGCAGCTGGCATGAGCTGATTTGTGACACCAGCTAGGGAGGAACCAGGACACTTCAGGAAGTAATCCGGCAGCTCCAATGCTTTCAGCTGCCAGACTAACCCTTTCTAACCAAATCCAGATGCTTAAGAGTGATTGTAGAGCAGCAGCTACGGATATTGCTCTAGCACTGGGGCACCCACTCCATAGGACGGGCAGAGCTAGAAAAAGAGGCTTCGGTTTACACAGTATTTTTGCTAAGCTTTTTGCCTTTGACAGTTCTTAACTGTTAAAAAAAAAAAATAAAGATGCTAGGACAAAAGGCTGAGTTTCCACGGCGGCAGTGAGACATCCTCAGACTAGGCAAAATTCTAGTTGGCCCCATCAGTATCTCAAACTACCATCCCTTTGCTATGTCAGGTAGATGAAATGCCAGACCAAGAGAAACTTTAGTATTGATTCAGCCCCTAAGGGGAGATCAGCGTTTAGACGTCAGTAAGAGTTAAGGACTGTATCATCTGTCCTAATACATGAACTCAAGACAGTAATCATAAATCAACGAAGGGCTCAGCTGTAAACAAGAAATCAAATTGAAAGGCTCTGTCGGCAGAAAAGGGGGGAGTTGTACCATGACCGGTTGATTACCTGTACTGTACTAGTGCCAGCAAGCAGGCCTAGCTGCTGGACCCTACCCCTGGACCGCTGACAGAATGGATATTCCTTATTGATACTTAAACACTTCTCACAGAAGATGACTCGGGAACTTGCATCTGGTGCCAACACAGCATTCAGCCATCTGATGAACATTCCCGTATTCTCAACCAAAGAGAACATAAATACAGTGGGTAAACAAGCTGAGCGTGGTAGATTATCTACATGATCAGACGTGAGCTGCCTCCCCCACACAGGTACATCCCAGGCAACTTGGGGCAACATAGGACAGTTGACATTTAAGGGAAGGAGGGCAACAAGGAAATAACGTAATAATGAAAAACTAGGAAAAAAAAACCAAACCCTTCACACAACTATTTTTCAGCATTGTAAAAAAATAAAAAGGAAAGCAATCTTTTTGACTTCCCGTGCCTACACCATGCAGGTCTCCTAGGCATTCTAGGCACTGGAGACGCTGCCCCTTTTTCTGCTGTTAAGTGATGCAGTGCACACAGTATTTCTGAAGGAGTTCCATAAACTGTAGTGCAAGCAAACTGAGAAAATAAATAGCACTCGAACATTCCCTCTTGTCAAAGAACATTAATTGCAGTAAAAACTAGCTTGCTTTTTGTTTTAACTGAATTTGTCAGCTGCAACTTGTTTTAATATATGAAAATTTGAAGATGTGTTTCACAGCATAACTGTAGAATAATTTACACTGCATTGCCAATTCACAATTCAGTCATTTTCATTAACAGTGTACAAAGAAGGTCCTTAGTTTATATATATATACTTTATAAAGTCTGGAAGATCAATATAAATACTGCTCCAGAAATTAAAAAAGTGTTTACATCCCCGACTTGAATATTACATCTCAGTGTCCTGGATTATTATTATAATCTGTAAAAGTCTTAGCGGCGCAGAGGTTCAAGTTTTCGAAATTTCAGTGACGAGCTGGATGACAAAGCATCTTGGTTTGAAGAAGAATTCACTGTGTCTGGGGACTGGAACAATACTCTACCACGATGATTAAATACATAAAAAGACGGGTGGTTCCTTAATGTGTCAAATGTCCTTCAAAATAAATGTAAAAAGTCAATGTTAATACTCTTTTAGAACAGGGGTTTCAGAAGAGTCAGTCTAGGGTATACCAACTTTTACAGACATGGAAATACAAGTTTTGAATCCAAAACTCTTTCTCACTTTATAAGTTTCCTAAACCGAAACACAGAGGAAAAACAAAGCCAAGCGTGAACAATACCAACTGCTCAATACGCAGAGGTTGTCCACCCCACAGACAAACTTCATCTTCCTTCCTTCAGCTCAGGGGCAGGCCTGTGGATTACTGCATGCACACGTACCGAATGTGCCAGCCTTAGTTCAGCTGTCACTTGTGTTAATACCTTGACACTGTTCACTGTCAGCTTTCCATCCCTTTCTGTGCCTGAAGCTAAGGGTTTTAGGTAAATGCTATGAAATACAACAATGTCAACTTGTTTACTTTCCATACTCCCCTGTGTTTTTGGAAATGGCCAGAGAGGCCGCATCTGCCCATCCAATTTCATACCCTTTTCAAAATCTCAATTCAAAATCCCTTATTTTCTTGTCTTCCAGATATTCTGCCTTGAATAGTTCAGTGTGAGATTCAAATAATTCACACTCTTGTAAAGAAGCAAAGACAAACAGAAGGTGAGCCAGCCATGCTGCCCCATACTCTATGAGACCATCTCACGACAGCAGTTTGTGACTGCTGAGCTCTTTCATACTTTCCACATAGACACTTCATTCCTCTACCAACTCTGCACGGGATTTTGGATGAGGAAAAGCAAGTTTATTTAATTTGTTCCGGTTACCTAACTCTCTCTGAAATTCAAGACATTGTTGGCTTTCCCAGGTGTGACTGTTCCTCTCAGTGTTATTGTCTACAACATGCATTTAAGAAGAACTGAGCTAAAGAGTGAGCTATTTCACAGTGTTCAGTTTGTATAGAGTAGCAGATACAGGTGTTCACGAAAAGAAGAAATAAAACATACTTATTTTTTAGTTCTGAAGTAGCATCCATGTCTTTAAATTCTCCTGCGATATGTACTATCCCATAGCAGGTAACTGCAAAGGCTAACAGAGTCTGAAGAACTATCTGTAACAGAGGGAAGCACAACGCAACACACACATTACTTAATATTCACCAAAAAAATCTCCTTTCAAACAGCGTCTCTTGCGCTTTTCATCCAGTGACAGTAAGTGCTTTACAGAGGTGGGCAATTCAACAGTAGGGAAACTGAGGCACAGCACGATTAAATACCCCGCCTATTTAGCGTGGCAACACGGTGGCAGAGCTGAGAATCGACATCGGTCTGCATTGCATGAATTGAATCAACTCACACGGCTCCTCAGCAAGATCCTTAGAACAAAAAAATGTGGTTTTGTGCACTTAAGCATCTAACACTCTCTCTGAGAAACAAGTTGCCAACACACGCTGTGCAGTGGTGGCAGTTGCTGCTCGGTCCAAATGCCGTGACTGGTTGTCATGTATATTTGATCTCCTTACCTTTCTGATTAAGCAAAAATGGAACAGATAATTGAAGTGGAATTTAAAAACCAAGCAAATAAAACAAACAAAAAAACCCCCTTCCTGAAGCAGGCTGTGCTGGGATCAAATGGGCACGCAGCCACACTGGATAAACAAATGTCAGCCAACAAAAGCCAGAGGGAGGAGGATGTTTATGCTGCAAAGAAGGAGATGAATGCAAAAGCTCTCTGAACTACGTTCAGGGAATTCCTGGACAAGATGCTTCACGGTAGTTCTAAAAGGAGAGGGAGGTCTGGACTTGGGGTTTGTTCTCTCTGACAGATGTAACACACCGCAGGAAGTTGGGATAAGAAAATATGGTTCTTTTTGACAGAGGGAGCTCAAATGAAAGTGCAATTTAAAAACTACTTTACCCTTTGTTCTTGCCTATCCCATTAAAAAAAAAGCAACTGAGAGAGACTAAACTATCCACACAGCATTACTACTACTACTTTCAAACACTGTAAAAACTTAAACTTACATCTATGGGTAATGTTTCGTCTTCCTTTTCTGTTAGTCTCATATAAGAACGATCTACAAAACAGAAACACACACACGCCCTGCGTAAGCACATGAACAGAGGAGCCGCACAAAAACCCCACAAGAACTTGCTGTAGGTCTCAGACACGTGTCAGCCCCGACCGTCCCCGGGCAGC